GAGACCCCCGAAGCAAAAACTATTAAACTAATGAAACAGAAAGTCCACTACTGACTGGTCAAACGCCGTCAATCGTTTTATTTTTCTTTATCAGGAAAAGTTCATTGAAAAAAATTTAATACGAGTAGAATCAATAAAAAGTTGCATAACGAATGCAATAACAAGTTTTAAAATAAAAAATAATAACAACATATTCATATTGATACTGCTTACTTATTGTGAGATTCTTTTTTATAATTACTTTTTTTTAAAGATTTTATAATGATTTTTCCAAATTCCTACGGTCATTGGGTAAAGTTGTTTGATAACGAAAAAAATAAAGTTGTTTATTTTTATAAGAAATTATATTTCGTAATCATTTTAAAAGGCGTAAATATCGAATATTTCATTTCAAGTGGCGAAATAAATATAATTTTGACTTTGATAAGGCTGCATTTGCAATATATTCGCAATATTCTTGATTCAGACTCTTGGGGAAAAAACCTTGATGTCATGTTATTCTTGTTTAATTAATATAACAAATATTCTATGCCGTTTTCTTCAATTTATAAAATCAATTGTATTTGTATCATTTTTGCGTTGGGAAATTTTTTTTTTAATCAACAACACAAAAAATATTGTGATGTACAGAGACAGTATATAGGAATGATTTTATCTTGCAAAATGCAAAAGTAATTTTTGAATGGGCAACCAAACCACCACATTGACTAATGTGCTGGGAGATTTTCTTTTTAAAAAAAATTAAGACTTTAGAAAATTAAAAAATTCACTTTTGAATCTTTAATGGCTCGTATGACTCGTTTCTTTATTTAATTTCGCCATGCACATTGAAAAGCACTATAAGAATGTGAGAGCCTAGGCTGAAAGTAACTGAATAATATTACCTCCAGTTTTTAATATAAGATTTTATTTGACTTTATTTTGATTCTAAATATAAGATCCCAATCTATTTTGTCTGTTATATTTATGCATTTTTTTCTTAATATAGTTCTTTTAATAATAGTAGTTCTAGCTAATACATTTGATTAGCAAGAATATTTTAGGAAAGACAATACCTATTTATTACAAATAACTAATTTAATTTCTTTCTTTAATATCCTCAAATTAGTTAACTAGCTCTTATAATTAGAACCGGATGTAATAATAATAGTAACAATAAAAAAAACTATTCAGTAATTTTCTCATTCATATGCAAAATCTGTTCTCGATAAAGATGTTATCTTGGATAAGGTTCTTCAATTATTTTAAGAACATATTCTTCAATTTTATATTGAACACAACACATCATTGTATTCCATCATTCGAAATTACATCCTTATATGCACTCTCGTAGATAAGAATAAATGAAAGAAGACATATGTGAAAGTATTAAAAAATTATCAAATCTTTCGAAATGAAGAGAAGTTCAGTGATTCTCAATTGTTTACTTGTACTTGTGGCATTGCCCCATATTTGATTACAATGTCTGGCTATCTTTTTTTTTTTTGGTTATGTTTCTGGCACCGAAAAAAAATTTACTTCATGTAGAAAAAAAGATATTTAGAGTTTTGTTTTTGTTCTTGTGTATATTTGGAAAGGCCATTATTGTTAGGCATTATGAACAAACATTGACATTATCTTCTATTGCTGGATTCAGGCCTGCTTCCTATTTGTTGCGAATGTGTAGGAACTAATTAAGACCACGAAAGTCACTTTTTAATATAAAAGTACTTATAAATGAGTGATGACTGATGAACATTATAAAAGAAAATTACGAAACAATTTACATTGAAAAAAAATGCCTTAAAAATTATTGTCCCATAGACTATTCCAGGGAGTTACGACAATGGTGTTTTGGCTGAAAGTCGTGGTTGAAAATATTTTTCTCATGGTGATGATGTATAATTTTTTTTTTAAAAATTGATATCATGTTATTTTTTTTAAGATAATCATTAATGCGGGCTGAGAATTGTTGTACCCAACTTTAACGGTAGATAAGGTAAAATTGAATGGATTTTAAAAGGAAACATTGTAATAAACTCCTAAAAAAATATAATTATTAAAAAATCTTCATAATAATTAAGCAGTCTGACAAATTCTAAAATAAAAATGATAACTTTTAATTTGTTATTGAGACTTTTTAATAGTTATTTTTATTTCTTGAAACTTCATTTTAATTCCTCCATTTTAAAAAGGTTTGACATTACTTACAATTTTCTTTAGCTCGTCCATGCTTTCTTCATAAATATTTTTGAGATAAACATGGGATTAGCCTTTAAATAAATCAAGTTTTGCTTTGGATAAAAAAGCATTCCCTCCATCTTTTTTTATTAGCAACTTTAGACTTCATCACGGAGATCAAAAAGTCAGTTAAAATTGATTAAAGACAATAAATATATAAAAGTTGAAAGTTTTTCCTCTAATATATCCTTATTCATTGAAACAGATAGGGTATAAGAATAAGAATAACAAAATTATTACCATCTCTTGTCGTTATAATAAGATCTCATTTGTAGTTTACAAATAAGGTCTTATTATTAAAACCGAAGGTATTATAACAAAGAGAGTTTTGAAAGAGAGAGAATGTGTGAGGAAGAAAAAAATAATGATTTGAAAAATAAGATAATAAATATATTAAATATTAAAACAAGTAATTAATGTCAGAAAAATAAAATATTTACTATAAAAATTTAAAATAACTTGCAAATGTTGTTTATATTTAAAAAAGAAAATGATAATTATTGCTTATAAAAAGAGACAGAAGGAGTACAAAATACAGCCTTGCCAACAAGCACGTGGCATGCGTTTATCATAAAGTATCTTCTTAAGTCTGTGGGGAGTATTATTAATTCATTCAATTGAACCCATAAAAAGTGAATAAAATTCATTAATATATTGGACTTGGATTTATTCAAACTATTTAAAAAATAAAAACTGATAAAAAGTGAGTAAAAGTAAAAATTAATTAAAATTTATCTTCATAAGACACTTTCACATATGAAATTAGCACTATATTAACTAGTTATGATCATTTTAATAACCATTACAATCAAATCACTCGTGGAATCTATGAAATTTAAACTAACATTTTTTTTTTTGGATTGATTCAGTGATTATCTAATTTTAAAACATTTTTTATGGTTTACGTTTCTCTGATTATTTAAGTAGGAATATTTCAACCCCCACCCATCTTTCTCTGGCCAAATCGAATTCGAACTCTAATTAAAAAGTAAAATAATAATGACAGCTTATTATTTAACAATGTCAGACAAGGAATCAAGATGATATTGAAAACACATACGTGCGGGATCCATTTTTTAGTTTAATCTCACGAAGTGGGGTAGCATGTGAGAAAAGCCGCCAGAAATGGAATTCAGATACAAGCAAATTTTTTTTTTTTTTGCCAGCCAGATACAGCAATTTACATCATAACTATACAATTTATGATTTAAATTATACTCTATATTCCCTCAAGTATTTATTGTAAAAACCTCCATTATGTTTCATAATATAACATGCTTTATTTAAAATATTTAGTAATTTTTTTCACCTAGTTTCCCTAACCTATTTCCTGGCTAATTATTCAAACATTTCTAGTTAGTGATTTTCAGAGAAACATTTTAATTGATTTCATCAATTTGTGTAAAATCCTTATCAAGAGCTTATACTACTTTTGATCTTTAATATAAGACTTCATTAATTACTTTAGGGAGATTAAGAAAATTAGTTAAATTGGTTATTTTTTAAAAAAATAAAATAATATTACATTTGCTAAAAATTCTTGTTAATTATGTATTAACTAAAGCTACTATTAATAGAAACCTTTAGTATATACAACCACTACAACAAGTACTTTGAAAAAACTTGATAAATATGAAAGATAAGGTATGCTGAAACCTTATATTTAAAATAAAATTAAAAATTAAATAGATTTTATATAAAAAACTAGAAGTAACAAACATCGGAGGCGAACTAATACTATATTGAATTAAAGAATCAGCATACCTAAATGGGTCCCACATATGATAAAAATGATTTTGAGCGCACCTATGAAGGGGGTGTTTGGCCTTCTCAAAACCGCGGTTTCAAAAGCACTTTTCCGCAAAACGAGGTAACCTCCTCCACTATTTACTTCGTAATCCGTAAAAACACTTCTGAAACCATGATTTGGTTTCTATCCAAACACCCCCGAAATCTCCTTTGTCCCCCAGAATGGACCAGAATCGAGAGCGGCCAGAATTTTCATAAGGGTTTAAAACACTATTTTTTTTCGGCCATAAAAAATTATATGCGAGGGTCTCCAATCAATGAACTTGTGGGTGAATTATCACATGACAGACAAATTTGACGAGATCCGGTATGTTAAAATTAATACTCCTCCGGTCCTTATTATAAGACTCAATTTGACTTTTTATTTGGTCCTAATTATAAGACCCCAATCCATTTTATCTCTTATATTTATGCATTTTTTTCCAAGATAATCCTTCTAATAATGATAGTTTTAGCCAATATACTTAATTAGCAAGGATATTTTAGGAATGACAACACTTATTTATTATAAATAACCAACTTAACTTACTTCCTTAATCTCCTCAAATAAGTCAATTGGATCTTATAATTAGGACCGGAGGAGTACTCAAATAAGACTAATTGTTTAAAACAAGACTGTTTACTTCCACCAATCAATTAATGCTATTACACACAAACATTGAAATTATAAAATTTAGCTATATGTAACGTGACCAAGTGTTTCCCAGATCGTAAGATTTTGGCCATCTGAAATAACGAAGCCTGGACAACTCTGAGGTCACGAGGATTTTTACCACAATTTTCTCATAATGTCATAATTTAAGAAAAATGCCGTCAAGAGCTAATTGGAAATTGAACTAAAATGCAAGCAATTAATTTTAAAAGAACGCGCTTAACATGGATAGAGTCACTGAGTCAGTAATTTAATACTCCGAAGAAAGGAGAATTGCTTAGCTACCATGAACTTGGAGTTTTAAGTTGAATATTTATTCACCAGATCATCACTCCCCTCTTGGACACCTTTTAGTTAGCATGTTTTGCAAACAAACACATTGCACATGGTGCAGCGAACACGAGAAAGATCAAATTCAAGAAAATACAAGGAGGCTTCAGGGCCAAAAACAAAAGTTCAATTATGACATCAGCATCAGGATTCATTCTGAAGACGAAAGCAACCTCACCACCCAACAAGCAATAGTTTTAAAAGGGCCATCCGAATGTATAGACCATTTTTTGCCTGCCTAAAGTAAGCAGCCCTGGGATCAGAATCAACATCCACGGTGATCTGCATAGATAAAATCAGAAGCCATCAGTAAAGGACAAGATTAAAAGTGTTTGTTAGCAAATACGGCAATAACAATACATAGAAATACTGTTTTAGGCCCTTAAGAGCGGTATGATAAGAATCAGCTTGCTTACCTCATCAAGCCTGGGAAGAGGGTGCATCACCACCGCATGCTGCTTCATCACTCCGAGAACATCCTTATTTATAATATACTTGCCTCTGGCCTCTTCATATAGGTCAATCCTCTCGCCAAATCTCTCCTTTTGAATGCGAGTTTGATAGACCACATCACACTCAGAAGCCACTTCCATCAAATCAGCACTTTCTTCCCACTTCACTCCCATTGATGTCAAATAGCTTTTTATATCGTCCTACAAGAGAATACGCTTTGTTTCAATTTGATGCTCCAAAATTTGAATGTCTTATTTCTGTTCTATTGAGTATAGCATCTTCAATATTATGACAATCTAAAGAAATGCACGAAATGGTCTAACTTGTAATTGGTGTAACTTTTAAATGGCTAGATGTCATAACAGGACACCAAAACAGCATGTTATGGCTAACTTAAATCACATTTTACTTTGCCATGACACATTTCAATGACAGAGATGAGCATTTAACAACCAGATCAACTTTCTCATAAGACTGCGTCATTTATATCTGTTGAAAGTTATGGCCAATTTAAATGACATTATGCTTTGCCATGACACATTTCAATGACAGAGATGAGCATTTAACAACCAGATCAACTTTCTCATAAGACTGCGTCATTTATATCTGTTGAAAGTTATGGCCAATTTAAATGACATTATGCTTTGCCATGACACATTTCAATGACAGAGATGAGCATTTAACAACCAGATCAACTTTCTCATAAGACTGTCATTTATATCTGTCGAAAATAATATTTCAGGCCCAAAAAAAAGAAAAGAAAATGAAAATAATATTGAAGGTGAAATACTCTCTCAAGGATTTAAGAAAAGCGATAACATTTTGGGATCCAAATATGTTAATTTGCTCAAAATATGACTACCAAGAACCGCTATGTTAGCAACTTCTCTAAATATTGTTTGTGCTCAATCAAAATTAAAGTATGATAAACAAGTACCTTCATTTTGACTACATCGGGAGAGACAAAATAAATTTTCACATCGTTGTACTTGGCAAGCAAGTATGCAAGTGAGCGAACTGTCCTTCCATTAGCAAGATCTCCCACAAGCCCAACTTTTATTCCATCAAGCTTTCCTATCTCTCTTTCAATGGTGTAAACATCCAAAAGTGCCTGTGTAGTTCGAAAAAGCAGTAAAATTTTGATCTCAGCTTCTCATAGAAATTATGAAGCAATAACTCAAAACAAAATTTTATTGTGTCTGACACATGTTTCAAACTCAAGACATTTTGATTCATGTCAATGTCCATACAACATAGCAATTCATTTATATCTTCAATGACAACATAAAACAAGACCTTACATTAAATATACCTCAAATAACTATGAAGAAAATAGCATAAAACCAGTGGCAAGAGAAAGCTGCTTCTTGGCGTCTTTCCTTGATTCACAAAACGTACAATCATCTTTAGAAGGGGAAAAAAGGTAATTCAAACACAGTTAAAAAGAAATTCGTAATATCTAACTCATAATGGCTCTAAAAACACAAGATTCACACAAGACATACCCAAAAGTTACAATTAGATACAATCTCAGGCTTCACACACACACACACAAAAGACCAGTAGAAGAAAGAGTAAAGTGCAAAGTTTTAAGCAAGGTGAAAAGTTCCCTAAATCAATGTCAATGGGTGCAGCATTTGCCATATAAACATTGGTATTCCACAGCAAGGACCATAAAACTCCCTCAACCAAAATTAATTTCTCTCCACAAGAGTTAATGGATACATAGCTACACTCCTCTCTGATATCAACTCTAGGTCCTCGGAGATCAAATTGAAACAGTTCATAGTCCTATAAGGAAAGACTCAGACTTTGACCTTCAACGTTATTCATTCCAAACGAGCTGTTGGTCAAGTCCTTTGGCGAAATAGAAGGATGAAGATTTGAAAAGAAAACGAGATTAGTAGCCTAAGCTGGTTTTTCTAGCAGAACAACCTATCGTTCGTCTAGTCTATATGTCATTCTTTTTGAAGCATAAATATGTTGCAGTGCCCTATACCCTGTCAAGTTCAGGCATACCTGGGTGGGATGCTGCCCAGGACCATCCCCAGCATTGATTATAGGAATGCCAGCTGTAGCAGCAGCTCTTCTGGCAGCACCACTTTCAAAGTGCCTCATCACAATTATATCAGAGTAACCCTCCACTGTTCTTATTGTATCTGCAATAAAATATCTATGAGAACTTGAAGAAAAAACATCCAAGAGGAACTTTAAGTATAAAGTAGAAACTTCACCTTCTAGTGTCTCTCCTTTGGCTGCTGATGAAAACTCTCTCGCATTTTCAGTTGTCAAAACCTCACCACCTAATCTTTTCATGGCAGACTCAAATGAAAGTCTGGTTCTAGTAGAGGGCTCATAAAACAGGGTAGCCATAAGATGACCCTTTAAAAGTTGGCTACCAGGTGAGTTCTTCTCAATGTTTTCCATCTCTCGTGCAACTTGAAATATGTCATTCAGAGTGTCTCTGTCAAACTGTTGCGCTTCAATAACATCATCAAGCTGAAATTTCTGACCCACTGACAAGGACGATGGGTGTTCAATTTTCAGAGCTTGACAATGGATGCGGTTTCTTTGTGAAATTGACTTCCAATGATTAGGTGACTTGTACGAGTTATTCCAATGATAACATAATAAATCTTTAGAGCGCTTTGATATGTTCAGAGCATGTGCCTCTTTATGCATCATGCAGGAGGAAAGAGAGGAGGAAGCAGCCATTGCAAATAAGATCAACCCTAAAAAGCACAGAAATGTTAATAGTCTATATAAGAAGTCATGTTTCGTATACCCATTAAGTCCCAAAACAAACATAGCAATTGAAACCTAAAGCAGCAAGCAATTCTTCATATATATAACTAGCACACGAGGCATATCAACAAAGGAATATGAAACAAATACCAATCAAGGCGATATAATTCAAGAAAGCATAGCCGCTCCAAATTTTCTTCAAACCTGTTAGTTACCAAGCATTGTCTAATAAAGAAAAGCTAAAACTAGCAGCCAATGCGACAAGAAATAATGTCAAAAGTATAGAGAAAAATTCTTTGCAAAAAACAAAATACAGTATCAATAGGACTCTTTTGGTTTTTGGGGGAAAAAAAAGATACGGCAGAAAAGGAGTTAAAGCAAGATGGTATACGAAATAGATCAAGACCAAGCACAACACTAATAACCAGGTTCTTCTAGTCCTTTTGCATTCTCTTCCTCTTTCGCCAGCTTCATCGGGACTCATGGATCCAGCATCCCAACAAAGCTATGTCACATTCTTTTTTATTTTGTTTTAGTTATTTATTTTTGCTATATGCAACGAAATGCAACCATCGAAAAGATGAGAGGAGCATCAGACCAGAATACGTCATTCGAAGAACAATCGATGATTCAAAACATAGTTTAAAAGACCGAAAGCCGAACCTGCCCAGCTCTGGTGGTTTGGTACTGCCTGGTGTGGACGAAGTCGAAGGCCGAATCCGCTTCTCTCTTCGTGCGGTCGCAAGGAGAATACGGGAAAGAAAGGAAAAACCTTTGCTTCAATACTGTATTCCCCCTTGAAAGTTACGTTGGAGCTGGAGACTCAGGACTTGGGAGACTCAGGCCGAGTGATAATATGCCCTCAAGGATTCGGATTCTGTGCTCCCGCAAAAAGAAACAGAGAAATACAGCTTAAAAATTAGCCATTAGATTAATCTTACGGCCGCGGTAATGCCACGTTACCAAAAGAACAAATCTACCGCACCGCACTACATATCCTAACGTAACATCTCACCGACTGACTGCAACCCATCAGAATCGACGCCGCCGATTGCTATGGAAGCCGTGGCCTCAGCTTCACCAGCCAAGGAAACCAAACCAGCTCAATGGAGCGATGAAGACAACTATCAATAATGTTCTAACTCAATGCGTAATCGAAAGTTTGATGAAATGCGAAACTTGCCTCGCACATACTCTAATCCATTAGAATTTGATCACCGTCGTCAACTCCAGCGTCAATCCCCTTTTCTCCGTCAGCTCTTAGCGGTGCATGGCTTGCCCAAGTCCACAGTGACAAGTGCACAAGTGCATGGGAAAGGTGGATTGTATGGTCCAAATGGAAAGGACAAAAAGGAAAATAGAGTGCTCATGAATCAGAATGACGCCGGATAACGTTCTCAGTCGCCGAAGAAGTATTGAAAGGAACCCAGTCGAAAACAGCGTCCTCCTCTGCTCCAGAACCAGAAGGTGTCACTGAAGAAGAAACCAGATGGAGTCGCACTCCCCTCTGCAACTCGTCTCTCGCCTTCGATGATGAAGGTCCCAAGCCAGCGCCTCCCTCCCCGGTTTTCACTCCGCCAAAGAAGACAAAGAAGATTATTAACAATAGCGCCCCTTCTCAGCTCGTGCCTCCCTCCCTCCAGCTCCCAGGTCCTCCATTCTCGTCGATGAAGATCACTAACGATCCGCCTCCCCCTCAATCTCAATCGGCCCAACACCAGGCGAAGAACGGAGCTCCCCCCGGCCTGCCAAGACTCTTCCCGCGGCTCTCCCCCTGCGACGTCGTATTCTTTTGCCGACACTAAATTATTCTCATAAACCAGTGAAAATGCTTCAATAAAGGCATTGATTACTTCTCATATACTACCTCTGTTGCAAGTTTAACTTTTAACTAATTTTAAATATATAATCCCAATTCATTTTATTTATCATATTTATTTTTTTTAAAGTACTTCTTATAGTCGTGACACATATTAAAAATTCTATTAAATACTAGTGATAGCTAATATACATAATTAGTAAGAACAGTCTACGAAAGATAACATCTAATTATTATAAATAATTAACTTAACAAATTTTTTTAATTTGTTCAAATTAGTTAATTAACTCTTTATATTCTACTTTAAATCTAATTAAAAACAGGGAGTCATCAGCCGAATGCGGCGTCGCTGTTAGGTTATCATGGAAGAGAAAGGGCAGAATTACAGCCTCCTTTGTGCCCAAGGGCAGAGCAGCACAGGCAGGTGTTTAGAAACAAATTTTTGTATATAAATTGAAATATTGATTAGAAGAGCAAACGCCTAAATAAAATATGAATGAGTTTTAACATTACATGATCACATGCTAAAGCAAATTTCCACGTGTCAAGGGTTTTGAAGAACCTTAAATGGTTAAAGACTCCCTTTCTAAGAAAATCACTTTATCATTACCAATTACAATGATGATATTTATCTTTTTTCGTTTCTCAAATCCACATTTTGGGGCTCAGAACGGGAGTGAGTTATTAGGTATGGCTAAGTTTTCTTTTTCCTTCAACCAACAAGTGTTCTCCAAATAGAAAGGATTTAAACACCTTAAACATCATGTTCTGAGTTTGATCCTTGACATAGTGTGAATGAAAAAGCTATTGTTGGGAGGAATTTCTGCTACGGTGCCTGACAGTACCCTAAAGATACTCTGGGCAACCAAAAAAAATTTTCTTTTCCCTTCAAGAAATTCATTCCACATTTTTTTTTTACCAAAATTCATTCCACGTTCAAGATCAAGGAAAAGCCAAATGGTCACTAGGACAAAACAGAGCATTGCGATTTGGAATAAGAATCCCCCTGAACAGCATTCCCATTTACTACCATTTGAAAAGTCACAGTAAGCACAGAAGGGGCACTTCTGCAGAACAAAAATGGGAATTTAGTTGATGATCATGTTGGTCATATAGAGAGTTGAAACGGTTAGGTGGTCCAATACCATTATATAAACTCGCGCCCCACAAGTTTGAACCTGTAACCTCCTTGCTTCGAGGTGGATTGACATGCCGCCATGACACCTAGCCATTGGCAGTAGCATTCCTTGTCAAGGCTTCATGCTGATCAAAGTCTAACAATGAAGCTTTAGGGTCTAATCAAATTCAGCAGAAGTCAAGAAGGGAAAGAAAAGTTCAATTTACACATTTTCTTTGGTTTATATTTAATAAAACGGGTTCTTCCTCTCTCCCTTTTCACTCTCCATTTCTTCTCAGCTTAAGCAGAGTCTCATACTGAATAATGGAATTTGATTCAATGATCCCACGAACTGTAACTAAATAAACAGCCTAGGAACGTTGTAGCAACGGCATAATACAGCCGTACTTGGATACAAGCCTTGAAAGCTCAAATGTGAAGTATTTGCAAGCAAGAAGGCAATGAAATAGACCTATAAAATGCAGTAGATTGCTAAATCAGGGACAGGCTTTTGCCATGTACCAAGAGAGGGCGAAGGAAAACTCAGTTTGGCCCTTAAAAAATATTCGTCCTGATGAAGCTAAACTCTCATTTACGTGAAAAGAGCTACAAGGCCCTCGTCTTAACAGAGAACTAAGGAAGTAATAACCACCAATTACAGAGCATAAAAGATAAAACAAGAAAGAAAGAAGATAAACCAAAAGGACTCCTGGCTTTTGAGAGGCCAGACTCTCTCTACATTCTCTCCATGCTGGTACCTTACCTCAGAGTTACCACTCAGGGCCTCATTCTCTCTTCCCCATGTACGCACTATCACCTACGATGTTAGATCCATCATATGCTCTGGTCCTTGGTTTTACTATTATTTTGTGCAACACAGACCCCTGAAGTTTGTTACAGAAGGCCTACAATGCCTTAATTGCAATATAAGAGAACATTTTCTAAGGCCAAGGACACCTCCAGAAGAGCCACTAGATTCCAACAATGACTATCAAAACCAACGATTAGATCATATAGAAATTATCTCAGTTGACTCTACCATGAATTTAATGCCATTCTACTGGACCCTCTCATTGAATCGATTCTTTAGGTTTTTTTCTCAATTCTCATATTCTTTTCTTGCAGGAATACTTTAAAAATGTTCCATCTAACATATGCAGCAATGCTTATTCATAAACTAGGAGGAATACAGCCAATCAGGAAGGACACCTTCATAAATTGTTAAATGGTGCATTTTCAGCTTTCAAATAACCGACAGCACAAATACTGCACCGCTAAGAAATGCGAGAATCTACGTTTTTTTTTTCCTTTTTAAACACAGAGCAACACCAAACAAAAGAAAAATATTTGTCAGACAACAAAAAAGAGCCTGTAACAAGGAAAAAAGCTGGGCCTTCCAAGAGCCTATGACACAGAAGGATGTCCAATTGCCAAAACAAAACGTACAGTCTGAAACACAAAGCTAGGTTTCCTAAGATACTACCTAATATTGTAAAAAGGGGTATTTCAATTGTCAGGGATTAAAACTTATTAGGATCAGAGATCGCAAGCAAAACCAGAAACCATGAATTGATGGAGTACCATTAAAATTAATATCACATTATTGTCTCAGAGTATGCAAGATGCGCTATCAGCGAAACAAATGAAAAGACTGCACAGTTTCAAAATTAACCCAACAATTTATAAAGTCTACCCCACCCCCCCCCCCCCTACATTCTACACTAATTCATTACAGGATACATAAATGAGCTTACATTCCAAGTAAATTCAATTTTCTCTCAGTAAACTCTCCCTGCATCATACATCCATATTTTCCATTTGAATGCTGCTTTTCAGAGGCACATACTCTCCAAGGTAGCCACCAAGATGATCATGCAGAGCAAGCTTATCAATCCCTTGATTATGGTAACTCTTACATACATAGTAGAACACACTCTGCACTAATAACCCAACCAGATTGACAATCACCAATACGCCCACTAAGAATCCACCGACCACAATCCGCGTGAACACCCCATGATAACCCCCACCGTGCACAACAACGGCGCTGAATATGCCTCCAATCACTCCACAGCAGATCAAGTAAACGAACACGAGAAAAGCTGCATACTTGGTCCTCCCTTTAAGCAACTCGTAACTCTTCTTCATCGCCGCAAAACCGTAAACTGGTTCCAGAACCGACACCACGCTGGCCAAGTGCCACAAAGCAGTGATATACACATGAACGACCAAAAACAGAATGAGGAGCACAAGCATGGCGAAGAAGAACAAAACAGTGTTCTGGGTATCGATTGCTATGATCATCATAACCAGGCCGAGAACAAAGACCAAGTTATAAGCGAACATCAAGAGCGATACCCAGAGAAAAGTGATGAACAATCGCTTAAAAACTTTCGGGATTGCTGATAAAGTCGAGGAGAAGGACACCGGCTTGGAGGTGTAGAGAGAGGCGACCGTGAAAACCACGGCGGCGGTGGAGAGGAGAGAGAAAGCAAAGAGGAATATGAGGTAGCAGAACTGAATAACAAGGAGCAGGGTCCATTCGTGAGGGGTCTGAGACGGATCGTCATAAGGGGATTGAAGCTGAGCAAGGATAGGGTGAGTGAAGAGGGAGTGAGCTAAGATTGCGAATGAAAGAGGGAAAATTAGGGCAACGGTGATCAAATAAAAGGTTCTCGGGGATCGTTTGGGGATTGAGATGGATTCTCTGAGGATATCTGGGATGCTCAAGAATTGAAGCTCTTCCGGGGCTAGATCCATCTGGGGTAGATGTAGAAGGCGCAGCTGCTCGTCGATCTGAGACGGGGATGTGAGAGGTGCTCTGAGAAACTTGGAGAGAAAAAAGAACCGAACTTGACTTGTGGATGTGGCTCCCAAGTTCTAGTCTTCGCGATTCCAGTCGGCAGGTGGAAGATGGGAAAGATGACGTGTAAAGATGGCGGGCTTCAGCCGACAATGGCCCGTTTAGTTAGAAAGGGAAACATGTTATTTAGGGGGTGTTTGGCAAAACCAAAACCGCGGTTTCAGAATCACTTTTCCGCAAAACGAGGTAACCTCCTCCACATATTTACTTCGTAATCCGTAAAAGCACTTCTGAAACCATGGTTTGGTTTCTATCCAAACACCCCCTAATCTTTCTCTACCGCACGATGATCACAATCCTTTTTCTTTTTGTTTTTTTTTTGCCAGCACAATATTAGTGTTTTTTTAAGAGAAAACCATATTGAAGGTATCTATATTTTTTCTCAATTTTTAATTTGGTACCTATTTATTTTTTTCTTTTAATTAAACATTTAATTTTATCTTTTTAGCAACATTAGCTCTTATAACTTTGTTCTATTGATATTTTTAATCTCTACATAAGGATTAATGATGTTAATAGAGGAAAAATAAAGATTTAGTTAAGAACAAAAAACACATAGATACCAAATTAAAAATTAAAAAAAAGTATAGGTACCTCTAGTATGATTTTCTCTTTTTTTTAACCAGCAGCACAATATTAGTATTACTCTTACAGTTACAGTTATTTTTATTTATTAATTTTTATTTAAAATCACCCATGATCTAACTCACTAGGGATATTACTCTATAATTAAAGAAGACCTGTAAATGTACTTATAAATTGTTCATTAATAAAATTCTCGTATTCATATCAGGAATTAAATTCGCAATTTTATGAATTATAAACTAAATTCTCATAAGTTGATCAATAATACTCCTCCGGTCCTTATTATAAGACCCAACTTGACTTTTTATTTGGTCCTAAT